GGGGGAATTCTGGGAGTTGAAATCCACATATCTTAAAGTTGCTGAGGTTGAGAAACACCGCTCTAACTCATTGGGAGATTTTTGAAATTTCCCAGAAAAAAGGCAACCTGTATCAGGGCCTTTTAGAGAACCATCATACATTACTTTCATTATGGCTGTGAAGCATCTACTTAATAAATCCCATTCCTTTGATAATTCAAGACTTCTGTTCTTAAGTTACAACAAAACTATTCATGAAATGAGATGTCAACACCATTTTGTAAAAAATCTGGTTTCTGGTAACTGGTTAGAAACCAAACTAATGCTGCCAGGTCATGTTTTTTCTGCTTAATTGACAAGCTCACTCAGGATTAGGGGCCAGGAATACTTGGTTTGGGGTTTATTAAAATTCTGCAGGAATCATTCCTGGTTTTCAGTTGTATAACACTGGGAAGAAGGTTCCCATAGTTTCCAAGGAATTGGGTGGGGGGAACACCACAAGGCTTTTTCTCCTTTTCTTTCTGCTTCTGAGAATCAAGATGGTTCTAGATAATCAGAATGAATCCATTTGCCTCTGGAATCTCATTCTTCTGCTCAGATCAAAATACCTATTGCAGAATTTTAACAATACGGTTCTCAGAAAATGAAATGAACCAGTCGGAGCTTCTGCAACCTTGCTTTTGATTTCAGCTCCACCAACTTTTTAGAAAGCATGCTCAAAAGGGTTTACTCCACCCTTTTCTCCTTGCATGTGACTTACTGACTGCCCATATAACCCAGAAATTTCACTCTTCTTGAGCTCTACTTCCCCTTTGATCAGAACTCTTCACAAGAGAACAGTGGATTTCTTGTTCTCCAGAGAAGTGGCTGAGTGAACCTGCTAGTAGGAAGGAAGCACCACCAAGATAATTGTGGCGCCTTAAGGACTGAAACGTGGCCTTTTCCCTCCCCCCCCAAAAAAACCTTTCTATTGCAATAATTCAGTTTAGCTTTAAAGTGGTTACACTATGAGTTGGTGGAAGCTACTAATCGAATTTCTTCTCATCACAGCTGGAGGTGAGTGGACATCTGCAGTGTTGCCTACATGTTACGTTACTTGTATGTGTTAGAATTATATTTGCATGCAAGAGAAGGTTCAGTTTTGAGCATACAGGATGTAGTTTGTCAGAGATTAAGGCAAACAATTGGCAAGAAAATTCTGTCATGAAATAGCTTTTATCCAACCTGGCATTCACCAAATATGTTGGGACTGAGGGCATCATACCCACTTTGTATCCTTTGTAATGACTGTTGCAGTTCTTAACCATGCTTGTGATCCTAACTGATGCAAAAGAGAGGGCTCATTTTAGTTCCAAGATTGATCAAGTCCACCATGGCAAAGAGTCATTGGCTGTGTCCCCACTTGACCAAACCATGGCACAGTCATGTCCTAGTAACCCTTTTCTTCCTCATCCTATGCTCTTGCCCTCTCATCCCTGGCCCACGAGTAAAACAAACTGAAGTGGCCTTTAGCTGTAAAACTATTAAAGCAATCTCTTATTTTGATGTTGTCCAAGGGCAGCCTCAAAGTGTACAACTTCTGTTAATCTTTGCTACTCATAACCTTGGAGAGAAATCAGGGGGTTGCAGTGACTGAGAACGGAAGCAATTGCAGCAGGATAGCAAATGCCAATGGGCACAGCACATTTCATGGCAGGACTGTTTTCAGTGCAAGAATGGGCAGGTAACACTTTCAGCTCAGCAGTATGGAAAAACCCTATGACAGAGAGCAGGAAGCAGGAAATGGAAGACCCTTGCGTGATCCCTATTTTGGAACCAAAAGAAATATTCTGATAGAAATAGAATTAGTGTGAAATTGGTTCAAAAATTGTATGTTTGAAAAATTCTGGAAGGATTGCAAGATGCTAAATGTAAAGCATTCTTCTTCCTCCTCTTCTTGCCCTTCCCCTCCTTCTCCTCCTATCAGCAGCAGCAACCTTCCATAATCACAGATTCCATAATAGGGAGCAAGTTCAGAATGTACCCCAAGAACCCTAGGCTAAGGAGAAAAGGCTTCAGTTTTCCTTGAGGTACATGAAGCCAGTTCAAGGACATGCATGACAAGGAAAGTGGGTTGAAAACAACATTAACTCTCTTTTCTGTGTACAACAGTTTTTTCTTGCACTGGTAATGTGCTGGATAAAGAACGTCCAGAGAGGACAACTCTACAACCCACCTCATTTCTGCAGAGAGCTTCATTTCCTTACAGCTCGTCTCCTTCCAATTACCAAGCCACAATTCATCCATACCATCAGCCACAAGCTTCGGCTAATCAATTAGGCCATGGACTTGCACAACTGGTTACCTCAGCCATTCCTTCAGTGCCTAAAACTAAGATGTTAAAGGCAGAATCAATCCCATTGACAAAATTACAGGCTGTGCACAGGGGGCAGAAAATACCATGGCTCTTACGCTGTTGCCTGCCAACCCTACAGAGCCTGACTGTGTGGAAACCTATAGCGGCTGCAGGGACGACAGTTTTGCGGTCTGAACCACAAACTGATTGGACTGAAACCCCCAAAGCCTTAAAAACAAGAAGGATCCCTCAAGAAACAACCTCAGAACTGGAACTATCAACTAGTCAGAAAAGGATAACTCCTGTTCTGGTCACAACTAAGGGAAATGTATATAAGACTGTCTCCAGGGCAACTGACCAGCACACTACAAAGCTGAGGAAACACACAACCACTGAAAAAACAAGTGTTGCAGCCCACAAGGACATAACATCTGTCCAGACCACTCCACCTACACCGTTAACTCCAGCTGGACCAACACTTGCATTTCAACCATCACCAGCTATTACAGGTGCTTACAGTGTTTCCAATGGAACCACAGATTGTGTTAAAGCCTTAATTGGCTTGACAATGATTGTTACAAACACAAAAACGGTAAGCTGCTGTAGCTCTCCCATCCCCTTTGTTTGTTTCTGTTCCTTTCATTGTCAGAAGTGCCTAATCCAGCCTTCCCCAACCTGGTTCCAGCCAGATGACTCTCCATTTAAAATCAGGGTCTTTCAAGATGAGAGGCATAGCTATGATTCTCTCTCTCTCTCCATTTCTAAGCAATAATAATTTGTCAGTCTTTGCTGAAATTAATGCATTGATGTCTTGCCTATGTCACAGGATGATCTAGAATATTTTAATATTGTTCCAAATGCCACACATACAACAGGACATTGTGGATATGGCCAATCAATGCTCAACATCTCGTTTGAAGGTGGCTTCATACATTTTATTTTTACTAAGGTAAGATTTTCTTCAGAGATGGTAGTTTGGAGAATTGAGGGCTTTGGAATTCTCTTCAAAGTATTGGTTCTGTTAGCATGTCACAATCCATAGTTAACAAAACCATGGTTAATTCAATTGATATTCCTGCCTGGGTTTGCATAACACACAATGAACTAGCCAAACTAATCACAGGGGTTATGTTCATACTCACTTACCTCATTCTTGTGAAATACTTGGCTTTAGTTTTATTTGTATAAGATTCTGTCTCAAATCTTTCAAGAGAAGTACTCAGACCATGGTTATATAACCATGGTTATACACACACATATACCACCTTTCTGTCTGCTAACAGGCCCCAGTGTGGCTGAAATAAATATGCAGAAATTTAACTAAAAAGCTAAAACCACCCCAAATTCAATCTTCTCAAACAGAAAATTAATCATAGCAAGCTTCCCTAAGTCTATCTGTGAATTGGTTACCAGCTGAGGCACAGCCTAAAAACAAACTAGGAATAAGCCACAAATAATTAAGTCCCGATTGTTGGAATTAGCAAGCCAACATCAAATCAGGGTTCTAAGCTGTGGTTTGCTTCCCTAAACCAAGCCAAGTTTTATTCATTGAATCAGTTCTGCATATCACACAAAACTGGGAAGAACGTGAGAATCCCAAATACATACAAATAAAAATATAGCATTACACAATATATCTCTTTAAGAGAATGGTGGCTTATAAAAGCTCTGGGGAGGAAAAGTATGCTGTATCAGTGAGGAGGTAAGGCAAAAAGTGTAAATAAATACTAAATAAAATATTGCAATGCATCCATGCTGCAGATATTACCGGTTGTGATGGTGTGGATTTAACCCTTTTTCCTTCCATTTTCCATCATGTGATTTCCTTTCAATTTTTAGTGGAGCACTTCCACACCACTATTTTCATTTCTCAAGGAAGCAATGTGAAGGTGATCACAATTCCTTTTTCCTCACTTGACCTAGACTGACTTGCTCCCCACTGTGGCACAAACATGCTCCAGCAACCCCCTTTTCCTTCTGTCTCCTCTTAATGTCACCTTCACCTGGTCCCCAATGTGTGCCAGGCAGCCTTAAGTTATCCTGAGTTGTTCCAGCTTTAAAGTAGTGTTTGCCCTCTTATCCCAGTAGAGTTTTTGCATGGATCAATCTGGAACGCCTCAGCAACCAGCCTGTTGCTGAAGTGGTCAGGAGACTTCTAGGGGTTGAGATCAGTCCAGCCTTTACTGGCCCCTTTAGGCTAATTTAGACACACCAGTTCCTGTCCAGTTTTGGGCACTGTTCTCCAGGGCCATTCTGGCATCTGCAGGAGAATCTGGCTCCTCCTAACCTACCCTGGCTGACCTTCTGTACCCACCAGGTCTCCAAGCCCATCACTGGCTTGGAGACCTGAATCAGCTCAATTGCAGGTTCAGCCCAAAGAACTCCACGAGACAGTACAGATACAGTTCTGTTGCATTTATTAGCTTCCACCTTCAAGACAGAATCTTGTAGGGTGGTGCCAGTCTCATCCTCTTTACCTTCCCACGCTCTTTCTGGGGGCTAAGGAAATGCTTATCTCCCCAAGCGCGGCCTTCACCAAACCATTCCATCACAGATATGCACTAACCTAAATGGTTC